TTATTAATAATATATATATATATATATATATATATATATATATATATATATATTATGATGAGAATACAAGATAGTTCTCCAAATAAATGCGAAAGAAGAGACATTATATAATTTCATATCAACGCTTGTGAACGCATATGCTTTATAGAACATAAATCCGTGAAGATCACTTACGACTGCTCATCCTGAAGGAAAAGACTGAGGTTGGTCGGAGAAAGAGAGGAAGAGCATATTCGAAAGGACAGACAGAAAGAAAGTGCGAGAGAAAGAGTCTCTCTTTTGGTATCGGGCACGGGCCATCTGGCAGAACGATCTTTTATTATAGTATCTATTCCTCCTGTAGCTCTTCGAACGGTGGAAGATTCACTCGCGCGGAAGTTGTATCTTTGATTAATGGACGGTGAGATAAACCGCATCGATTTTTTGATCGATATCGATGACGAAAATATCGGCATGGAGGCGGCACGATTATTTTTGCCTTAGCAAATAATACAAAATTATTTTCTGTCTTTTCTTTATATTTCTTTATATTCTTGTGATTATCTTTATTTTTTCCGTGTTTCAAGGATCTACAAATAACAGACTTTCAAAATATAGTATTTAAGAGAGACATCTGAAAAGTAAATCTCTCTTCATTTCATGCAAAAGAAATTATAAAATATATATTGATTTTATAAGCAAACAGACGGCAAAAGTATTATTAGCAGTTGTACAGGGACTCAGTTTTCACAATTTTATTAATAATATTCCGCCAAAGGAATATTTACTTGTTTTTTTTATTTTATTCAAATTGTAAGACGTATGTCTTTTCTAAAATAAGACTTTGAATTTTCTAAAAGTTATTTATAATATTCTACCAGAAAATTTCTTTGATAATTTTTTCAAGATAGATCAGAAATAAATCATAAAGATGTAATATATCATTACAGTTTAGATAATAATGATACACATGTATCTTTATAAATTGCGATAGGGAAGAAAAATAATTATGATAGTTGTATTTTTTATCTGGAAAATAATTATCGACTCTTGAAATTAGAATAAATTTAATGGCAAAGAAGATATTCACATTTTTTTCATCTATAAAATTTATTCTATAAGATTTTCTTCTGTGTGAGATTTGTTTTCTGGCAAAAAGTAACATTTCTAAGAGAGTGGTGTCACGTCACGTCACGTCACGCGCAATTGTCTGGTGGCTGCTAGATGGTCGGATGACTGGATGACTTTCTGGGAGTAACGCACCCCATACTTCTCCGGGGGGGAATATTCACGGGACAGCCCAGGGTGAGCCCTATAATAACCCTCGACCAGATCCCACCCTCTTGGCAAACAGAAAGGCCTTGAAAGTGTGCACGACCGCAAGAGTCGCCGCCCCTCGCATGGCGGGGCGAAATTTGATTATGCCCCTTCCACGTGGATGAGCCCGACGAGATTCATCGGCGGGTACCCGCCAATGATTTATGCCACTTTTTTCTTCTTACCGCAGCGACAAGTTGTCTTTGTTGTCGTTGATCGCCGTGCATGTGTACCCATGTGCATTTCCACCGTTTTTACTATATCATATTATATCATACTAAAGGTAAAATTCGGTATTTTTCTGTCTCCTTTTTTTAAATATTTTACATAGATTTTTCTCCTGATTGCCTTGAATATTACCGTGCATATATACATTCGCGGTATTTTACAAAAAATATATTTTGTAAAATTGTAAAATTGTTAAAATTTAATAATTAAAATTAAATCTAATTTGTTAAATATACCATTATATAATTTTTGTTATTAATATAAATTATAATTGTGCGAGAAAGTTATAACATTTCTGAAAAATTCTGCTTTTCGTATGTTAATAATTAATAATTCTTCAAGTAAACTTTTCTTCTTTAACTGATATATAAATGTTTAAATATTTATAATTTTTTTAATAAACACATTTTTAACAAATTTTATATTTAAGAAATGCAAATATGTAATATTACTTAACGCTTCAACTAAATTGCAAATAAATTATAATAAATATAAATATTAATAAAATTAATAAAACATTAAATATATTAATGTACTTTATGTTTCGTATTCAAGGATTGGAAATATGAAGTGTACAGAACAATCGAATATTAAGTGCACTAAGGGCCGTCGGACGGTTGCAATGCTTCATATTTTTGTGACGCGAGTTTTTACAATAACGATTACAATAAACCTTTTTAAACCGCAGCAATCTGCGAAAAAAAATGTGCTCCCAATAAATTCAGTAGAATTGGGTGAAATGTACGATATTTGTAGACGCCTGATCCATCATCGGTCATTGACGGATATACAATGGAATTTCAGGAAGCGATAGTATGAAACGAAAGCGATGCACCCACGATCGCTCATGTTTTTTTTGGTCGAAATCAATTCCTGACAATTGTAGCACATAGGGCAAAACTATCATGCAAAGGTGCTCGTTTGATAGATCTTTTAATACACCATTTCATAACACGACATTCAAACATGTTCATCAGCCATAGCTCCGTTTTAGATTTTTTATCAAATCATTAACATCAACATATGCTGCAAAATGTTAAAAAATTAATCAAATTTTGAAATAAAAATTAATTTTGTAAGAGTAAAGTTGCTTATAAATTTAAATAATAAATTAACTTAGATAATCTAAATTAATTTAGACACTTTTATTTATATTATTTAATAAATTAATTAATAAAAAATATCTAACAATTAAACATAAAAAAGACCAAAATTTATTTATCTTGAATGACAAAATTATTGATTTAACGTCAATTGATAACGCCAATCTGAAATTATTATAACTTCTATACAAATTGCAAATATTTTATAGATTTTAGAAATGGTATCACATAATAAGAAATAAAAAAGATTCATGTCTTGGTCCATGTCGACCGATAGAAATTTGTGATGGACAAATTGTTGAGTCAACAACCACCTTCGTCCTTTTTATTATCGAAGACGCAACTTGACACTCGACACACGATAGAGGTAACTGACTGTTATGAAATCTGTCACTTTAAATAAGACGAATCGAGAACGATCAGTAAAAAGGAAACTAAGGTAACTTCTTAGATACAGATCAATTCATCATCAAGTTGACATCTATTCAAATAGAGCATAATGAAAATACGCAAATGAAAAAAATAAAAAGAATTTTTTAAATTATCTAAATTTTTAAGTTTTAAAAATTATCATTAGATGAAAGTCTGGTAGCAATTTACCAAATTAAATTAAATATATATATGAATTTTGAAAATATAATGAGAAGAAAATTTATTTATTTTTAAAACCTATATTATTTGCATGCTTATGCATTTTTATAAATATTTTAAATTGCTATTAAAATGTATTAGTTAAAATTGTGTAATATACAAAATTACAAACTTTATATAATTGTACGCAATTCAGGCAACAAAATCTTTAATAAAACAAACAGCAGCGATGATGTCGAATGCAACGAGGGGCAGAGCTTGGTATCATCCGGTTTCATAGAAACATCGTTTTGACAGAAGAGTGTCGTCACAATTGGTCGAAGCGAAACAGTTGAGGAGGGTGGCGTAGGTCCGCAGGAGTGGCTATCTGTTATTGGGGTGGTAAGGCCGAATTTCTCGTTTTCTTTGTCTCCCTGAATGTTACAATAAATCAATGTTTTTGCGAAGTATCATCCTTAGAAACCTTTGTTATATGATCTACATATATCTTCTAATAAGCAAAATGTTAGCAATATAATAACAAATTGTTAAGAGACATTTTCTTCTTTGACATATTCTTTTCTGTCTCTTCTTGTCATTATATTCTATGAAAAATGTGTTACATTCTATATAATCTTATATTTCTGTGATATCTTATCAATAAAATTTGCAGTAGACATTTACAAAATCTGTTTCTAGTTTCTGAGCAATCATCAATGATCTGGTTATCTGATACAATTCTTATTATGCATAAAATGATCTATTTATTAATTTTTGAAAACAGCTTTTATAAAGAAGCTTTTATTTTTTCAATTTACATAAATCAATCCACATTAAGCTATACTATATATAGAAAAATAAAATTGTAGATAAACGAGTTGCAATAAAACTTATTTATTATTTCATTACCTATTTATTAGATTATTTTGTGTTGACTTTTTAAAACTGTTAAAATATTTAAATATTTCTTTTAAGTTAAGATTTATTTAATTACACAAAATAAATAAAAATAAACATAAAAAGCTGATTTTATGTAATATGTCATTTTATATATATACTGATTTTATATATCATTTATATGATTTTATATTATATAATTGCATGATATACAAGGCATCATATAAAAAAGAGAGAAAAGCGAAAATTTTAGTATTTAAATATATTTCAAAAATTATTGAAATCCGACGAAAGAATTATAAGAAACAAATGATTAGTGCTCCTATATCTGTAACATTTTAAACATAAAGTTTAAAATTACTGTAGTTATCTCTTAATAAAAATAATTATCTATTAAAAAATTATTTATTAAATATCATTTATGTTATGAAATAAATAATAATACATTGTTTAAAAAGATGTTTATGACAGTTGAGTTAACAAACATTGACTAAATAAGAAACGTTTCATCTTGAGCAAGATCTCCCACGCTTGTGCGAGGATTGTTGGGAATTGTCAACCCTTCTGCGAACCAATAACAATCGGCGTCAATGTGAAATTTCCTGTCACGGGCGTGCCTCATTGGAATAGTTTGAGGAAAGCGACATGCTCGAGCGAACGGGGTGGGTCCTCGATAGGCCTTGCAACCCTTCGATATCGTTCGTATCGGTTCTGCATTGGCGTTCCCTATCCTTCCAACGGCGGTGACTTTCGACGCTGATCGTATTTCTCCCTTCCTCCCTCCTTCTGCCTGGCACACCGTGCTCCCTCGTGACAAAAGGGGCGAGAGCCCCGTGGCCGCAGCGACCGATTAATTCACTACAAAGGGGCTGCGTATCTCACATCGAGCCCTCGACAGGCCCCTCTAAAACCCACCTACGGCCCTACTGCCAACGGCGTCCACGCTTTCATCCTTCTGCAACCGATGCTTTACGAAGGACGATCCCTCCTCCGCTACTCCATCCCTAAAGTGGATTGGCTCGACCCCCAAAAGGCCGTCAGCAGGGGAGAATATTTCTATATAACATCGAAGTAAGCTTAGATTTGTATTCAGTTATCCTGAACGGTTCTCGTTGATCTCGGATGCGTTGGCTGTTTTATCCGTAATCGAGACGGTGAAGTCTCACATGACGGATACAGTAAAGTGCTCAGTATTAATATTAATCCTTCCGAAGATGTCCAAATCCAAGACCGCGGGTTTATTTCGTCCTTGGGACAGTTTGGAAACGGCAAACGAAGCTTCCGAAATCATCACCGATATCAATACACTCCGCGACATGTCATGCAGCAGGCAGGAGGACGATGAACGGATTGTTTCTTCGACGACATCGACCGCCGAAGCGCCTGAACTGTGTGACGATCATCTCTTGAATCGAAGAACGGTAGCTTCAACGTCGTTAAGCGATTTTCGTCACGCACGAATACGGGGAAGCGTGTCTTCCGATGACGTAGCGAGCAGAACTATTCCATCCCTCGAAGATGAGAACACCTTCGCCGGCAACGTGCAGAATGTAAAGAAAAACTCACGTGTTCCTCGTTCGCAGCAACCAGTGGATTCGATGGTTCCCGTGTCGTGTGCGACCTCCACTCGAGATTCGGACGAATTTAACGATTCTAGTGACGTCATTTCGCCGGATTGTCTCTCGACGCTTAGAGAATTTCGATCGTCGGAGGGTTTCGTATCGATTAACGACGGTGTTTATCCGATCACAAATTCAGACGTTGCGGGACCACCATGGACTATAAGCTCGATGATCGAATCGCGTTACGTTTCTGATGTTCCTAGGATACATTCTGGTATCTATCCTGCGATACATCCCGGATTTCAAGCTGGGATCTATCCTGGTATTCTTCCTCTAAATTTTTATAATCATTCCATGGAAGAAGCGGTACAGATGGTGCATCGGCAAGATGCCGTTGCCAAAGAGATAAAGAAGATGCGCCCGAAAAAGCACAACTGTCCGCATTGCAGTATGGCGTTCAGTAACGGCGGTCAGCTTACCGGACACATTCGCATACACACAGGTTAGTTAAAAATTAATGTTAATTGTTAATTATTTTTTTATCTTATATTTCTTCATAATGTTTAATTCTTTAAATCAATTCTTATACTTAAATATATAAAGAATAAAGATTGGTATTCGTTGATGAACGAGACAAAAGCCCTTTAAAGTTTTTAATATAATTTATATATTTATATGATGTTTTTATATAATATAAACAAAAATCCACGCGCAGAGAAATTTTTTAGAAATTTTTAAACATTTTTAAATAATTGTTTATGCAATAGTATCTTGACAGAATCTTTAAAGGTGATTTAACGAATTATTCTTTTAATTTTATTTTATAAAATTGTATTAAAGGGTTTTTTTAATTTAAAGAATATTTTTGGACAGACATAAAAAGATTCTTCTGAAGGTTTATTACCGCAAAATTTTAATATATATTTTTTATTCAATATATTGCATGTTTAAAAAATATTTTATAACTACCTTCAGTAAGATTTATAATTTGCAAAAAGGATTTTCACTCGTATAAATCTAGGTTTTGGGATTAAGTACTTCAGTTATTCGCGTAACAAATTTGTATGTAAATATTCATGTTTGTTTTCTAATTGATTTCGATTTGAAAGGATTATTCTTAAATGAAAATATCATTTTCACGAATAATCACAGGACAAATAAATAAATAATCGTTTGAACAAGAATCCAACACGCAGGATTTTCGTTTCTACAGGCGAGAGACCATTCAAGTGCGATGTTGAATCTTGTGGAAAACGGTTCACCAGAAACGAAGAACTAACGCGGCACAAGCGAATCCACACTGGCGTTCGACCTTACTCGTGTGTCTTTTGCAAAAAACGATTCGGACGGAAGGATCATCTTAAGAAACATATGAGGACTCATGAGGCACGTGATTCATATCGCGTTTCGACAGCAGCATTGGGCGTGATCGCTTCTCTGAGTTATCCATTTCAGCACACTACCGAACTTGGGCCATATCTCTATCAGATCTGACATTGGATCATCATTGATAGAAAAAAATCAAATACGCTCGATCACTTTGACAAAGACCCAACTTTCGTAATGTCAATTGTAAACATTACAATAATTTTTGGTAGCTGTAGTATAGGATATCTGATATGTCTGATTAGTATATATATCATTATATACTATATTTGCTATAAAATGTCAATCATATATTTTGTATGATACAATGCCTCAATTGCCTTGGGAATTTTAAATCACATCTAAATATTTTTGATACAATTATTTATACGATTTAAATAAGATTCGTATTAATCATAAAATTATTATCAAAAACAGCGCCGACGGATCGCCTAATATATTCTAATCATAATTAAAAATTAAAAATTAAAAGAAAAACTGAATGATAATATGTATATATACAATATATTTATGTATGTATATAATATATATAAATATATAATATATACATTACATATACATGTAAATTGAAATAAATACTATTTGAAGTTCTCGTTATATATTTGAAATAAGTTAGATGTAATATACATATATTTTAGTAATGTAATGTATTAAGTGTAAATATATATATACAAATATATGTAAAATTGTGGTGTATTAGATGTAAATATTCATAGAATGTTTACGTCTAATAATTTCACAAAATGTATTCGAAAATAAGTATATATATTTTGTATTATACGTATTTATTACATTTATATTTGTTATATATTTGAGGAATTTATTGTTTTAATTAGAAAAAATAAATATTTATAAATTAATAATATTTAAACGAGAGCTTATTTCATATTTTTTATCTTAATGACAAATTTTCTTAAATTTTTAAAAAATGCAATTTTAATTATAACATTTTAGGATTATTGCAATGCTTATCATCATAATATTTTATCGTGAATAATGAAATGTATTGATTTTTTTATTAAACAATTAATACTTTGTCATTGCAGCGAACAAATATTTGTAGCACACAAGTTATATTAATGAATTTAAACTTTTATTGTACTCTTAATATATTTTTGTAATTGAAACAGATGGTCGAAATATTAATAATTTAAAACATCATTACATCTATTTTTTTTTAATATTATTATTGTGTAATTTAAATATTAATAGCAAAGTATTTCTCTGAAAAATTTATACATCAGTCCTCACGCAAGTATAAGCGCATGTTATAAATTAATTATTTAAATTAGATAGCAATATTCGTCTATCAACATTGCTATCGGAACCACCACCATTTTCCCGACGATTAAATTCAAGATGGCGTCACCAGCCGTGCTGACTGCAACCCCTCGTGTAATAGAATCCCCTTGCTCGTTTACGCGATGCGCTATAGGGGGAAGGACAGTGGGTTGCGCCCTTTCGCCCTCAGAAACGCACACGCGTCTCTGTATCTATGCTCTTTTTCCGCCTTTTTTTTCATTACAATACGTTTTTATGGGATGTTTCGTGGTTACGTATGAATCTGATTCCAAGGGAAGTCTAAAAAGAGTTAAAAAAATTGAGTGTGATTAATTTTCTTCAGAAATCTTTTAAAATTTGATTTGAATTTGTATTAATTCTTTTTATTACAATTAAAATTTTGCAATTGCTTTATAATAATTGTTTAAATGATTGTTTTATGAATATATATCCCGTGAAATTAATAACATGAAATATATACTTCTTATATTACAGTATAACGAGAGAAAGAATTAATGGTAGAACATTCTGAAACTTATTTGTTGAAATGACGTTTACGTTTTCAGATTAAAACATAACTTATATAAAACGTATTTTCTCAATTTACAAATGTTTAATAATAGATATCTTTACTAATTTTAATTAAATACGTTTGTTGTATAATTCTAAAAACTAAAAGATTTTTATCGATGTATATCTTCTTTTAATCGCTTTAGATCGAGGAATTATAAATGTTTTAATAATTTTTTTTTTTCTAAAGACCCAATTGAATACAAATCGATAATTGATACAAACTTTGGAATTAAGACCGAGTTACGAGCGGCACGCAAATATTAACTTCTATCCGCGATGTGACACGAATACGATCGCAACTGACAGGACTGGATAATCCTCTGCTGCGGTAACTTAGCGTTAAGTGTGCCAGATTCTCACACGGGGAGTTTCAGTAGCAATTCGGGTAGCGGAATCCCCGCTGGGTTTCCGTCGGGCTCGTTGACACCCTCCTACCGTTCTACAGATATATGACTGAACTCTCTAAAGTTCTTTCTCTAGAGGACGATCCTTTCTTCCCATTCTCTGTCCCCGTTTATGCACTACACTAAATTCCGGCGTCCTTTTCTAAGGGTGCAAAACTTCTCTCTCTCTTCTTTTTTTTTTTATTCTAAAAGTTCCTCTTTTCTCTTAATAGCCAGCCAAGTTCTATCCTTTTTAGACACACATTCTCTCTCATTAGATACTGTTTTAGAATTTTTAATTCAACAAGAAGAAGCTCCAACTTTGATATTAAACTTCTTTATAATTAGAAAGTCTTTTATTCTCTTTCTTGTTCTTTCTTTTATTGGTCCTTAGCAGGTAGCTTGCCATCGACCTGACCTATTCTAGATCTTATAATCCTTATGAGCAGGGTTTCCTTGGATTAAACGATCCGACTTGAATGCCGGATTATAGCCCTGGAAAAACCTGCCCTAATCTCAGATTACAGCGATAATCTGTCATTATTATAAGTCGATTATAGACGCCAAATATTTATGATATCTGTCTTTTGTACTTGTTGGCAAAATAAACAGATTACTCCATTTCAAGTCTCCATTTTTTTCAGGTAAAACAAAATAAAAAAATTACTATTCGAATTCACTCAAATGGCAGTAATCTTTTTGTAATTTTGTATTATTTAACAATTTGATTTCCGTTACCGAAATTAAAACTGACATGTGGCTCAAAGCGATCGGCTGCAGCACACATCAAATGATCTATTTCTATTTCTATCTTTTTTTTTTCATCTGTTGATTGAACTGGCTACATATTAGCAACACTTTCATACACATACATTATATCACACAGCGGGACCAGATTCGGCAGTTATTTTTTGCGTCATTTGAATTCCCAATATGTTTACAGCCGATCTCCCGCCTAATAGCTACCGCTCCGAGGAAATCGCTGTCAGCGAATACAAATTCATCCGCTTTCGCTACCGCCGTTTATTCTTCTCGCCTGCTACGAAAGTCCAAACATTACCTGCACGTTGCGCCGACCGTGTCGCAGATCGCATCCCTCGTGCAACGATGCACACCGCGGGTGGGCCTGTAATGTCGGAATGTTTGCCCGCGTCATTGTTGCGCGTCCGACACTCGATACGTTCCTCCCGGAATCCGGTTTTAAAAAGCATTTAGAGCCCCTAATGGCCGGTCACCTTCCCTCCTTTACGTTTTACGCGAGATATCGCTTCTTTTTCGGGGATCTCGTCGATTCCTATGTGCATGTGTGCGCGCACGATTGAGTGTGTGTTCCGGCGCTCTCACCGGGAAGCTACGGGGCACACCCGGGGCGCCGCTGACTTTCTGATATATGGATCGCTTGTATCCATTCGCAATTCACCGTTCAAAGACGATGAATACGCGCTGACGTTTCTCGTTACGCGCACCTGAAAACTTCGGATCGCTCGGGATCCGAAGGATCACTACGGCAGGCCAAATTGCCCGCGGGGATGAGTAGTTTGTAAACGGAAGAAGTAATGCGAGTAATATAATCCGTTAATCGAGAGAGCTGGCGAATTAGGATATGGATCACGTCAATCTTTGTTTTCAATCTTCATTTTTAAAACAATGTTGTTAGTTATAAAACCGCAAGATTTATGAATAATTTTATAATTAATTTTTGTAATAGTACATTTGGGTTATGTTTCCTGTTATTTTTTTATCTTGTTATAATTATTAATGCTATATTTATTAATACTATGTTTATTAATTATAAAAAAATTTTTATATATATTTTATAATAATATAGATAGTTTATAGATGAATAAAGAGAAAAATATAGGGAAAAATATTAAGACGATTCCCTTCGTTAATATTATTATGAAAATTATAATTATGAATCAGTATTGATAAAATATATCGCTTATATTTATTTTCTTACTTTTATCTTCTTTCGTGTTGCTGATTTTTTTAAATTGTCTATAATATATTTGCGTTAGTTATATTTATTTCTTAATTTCATATATTTTTTCACCGATATAATTTCCACTTGGACCATAATTGCAAACTAGATAAAGTATCTTCCAATCATTTGGTTTTTTATATGATATTCGTCCGCAACCGATTAATCTTGTTTTAGCCCAGACAAGTTGAGTATAATGGCCTGTATTTACATCGAATCTATAAATTCATATTTAAATTCATTAAAAAATATACTATGAAATATAGATTTACGATAAACATACTCAGTTATTTTAAATTATATTATATTTAAAATATTAGAAATTACATAATATTATATATTAAGTATAATATTATATATTATGCATAATATTATATATTATGTAATAAAGTATTTATGTTACAATTATATAATAAAATATTTATGTATGCGATGATATATCCTTATATTTAAAGCTTTTGAAACCATTTAAAAAGAGAAATTAATATTATAACATATATGTTTACTATAATTATAAATGTAAAAATTTATATTTATTATAAAATTTATATATGAATAGAATTTTTACAGTATTTCAAATACTTACTTATAGTTGGAAATCTGATTTCTATCAAACATTTTGACTTCATTGTACCACATTTGGATCATATTATTCAAACGAGTTTCATCAGACTCGGTGCCTGAAGAACTCATAGATGACATAGCTATATTCTGACCGACTGAAAATCTGTCTACAACAATTATACATTATTTATTAATAAATTGCGTTGCATATACAATTCATTGTAAACGTAATTCATTATAAATGTAATTGTATAAAGAATTACTTACCTACATCTCTACACTCATCATGGCTGAAATTGCACTGATCAGCCCATCTTTGTGCAATTTTCTCTAGTTCATCATCCCATTTCTAAAAAAATATATTTGCATATGTGTATAAATATATGTATGTAAATATATGTGTCCAACATCAGAGATTATATCCAGGACCAAATTTTAGAACAATACTTTATTTGTAATTTTATTTATGTTATTTTATCTGTGTTATATCTATTTTTGTATATATAATTTAAGCGTGTACTTTTTTTTAAACATTTATACATGTATATTCTTTCTGTGTTACACAACATTGTTTGTTATAAATATAAAATATTAAAAATAGAAAGAAAAAATTTAAAGAGAGATTTCATTGTTTTAGATAAGAATATAAATATTTATTTAATTATGCTCTCTTTATTTTAGATGTTTTAACTTGCTGTTAATAATATATTACACATCATCTTACCAAATCTGGCATGTTTTTTGCTGCAGGTTGCGGGCCGGGTCTTCCACTTTTTTCCTGACCTGATGCAACTTTTCGTCTCAATTCATTATGTTTTTTTACTATAATTTTCTTCTGAGCGTCATTAAAGCCTCGATTACTCCATTCCGTGCATTGTGCCGCTGGTTCTGTTGACTATAACGTAACATTACAGAATTAGCAATATGTAAATTAAATTATTCATAAATAATTTTTTATTTCGATAATATCTTTTAAAAAATAACGTTTTTAGATAAAATAAAATTTATTTTTATACATTTTAGATTTTTATTAAATTAAAGAAAAGAAAGAAAAAAATTTGTATAATTTAAAAATATACATCTTATAGTGGACAAATAATTCTACTTACAGTATACTTGCATAATGTATGACTTGCTTTATTCGCACATGACTGCACATTGCAGTAATCTGTTGCAAACATACCAATAAATTTTCCCACTATTATAGCAAAACACAATAAAGTAGAAATTCCTTCCATTCTTTTAATTTAATGTTTTCTATTCCTTGAATGGGTCTGTTGAGACAACTTGTAGCTAAAGTTTAAAAAATTCAACTTTAAACAAAAATGAAATTTGAATTTATATGCTAAACATTATCGTACAAAAATATTATCATTATTTTCAGTATTATCTTTTAATACGATTTTCGTGCATATTTTCTTTTTTATTTCATTCTTTTACGATTTTTCGTGATGGAAGTGATATCTTTTTTTAATTTCTGTCCCTGAAACAATATTATTAATATATAATCTGTATACAATTGCAAAATTTATATATTATCTTATAATTAATTTTATAAAATAATAAATAGTTTTATCAATTAATGTTTGAAATAGTTTATTAATAATTGTGTTAAGTAATACATATATATCGATATTATTTTAAAAACATATAAATTTTATGGATATATATATTTAAAGATTTATAAAAAAAACTGAGAATAGCGACGAAAAATATAATTTAAATATTGTTTATTTATAAACTTTATAAAGAATAAATGTAAAGAATATTAAATTTAAAAATAGATTACAAAATTTGTTTTTTTTATATGTTATTATCATTTTTATGTCACGTACTGTGTTGTTATTCTGATTATTCTGATATTATTTATTACTTCCTTAGTTACAAAAAAATTTTTATCATTGTTAATAAAAATATAGAAAAATGATTGTAAATCTATAGTGAAAAACTGAAATGTATTTATTTTAAAAATAGAAAACTAACCTTTATAAATATTAAACATTAATTTAAACATTAATTTTTATTTGATTGATTGAAACTCACGTGTGCTTTGTAAAATTATTAAATAAATTTTTTTACATTCTAATGTAAAATACGAAATATAAAATGATTTATAATATTTTTGAATGATTTTGTTTTAACATTTTTAAAACAGTTTTAACATTTTAAAAACAAAATAGTGAGGTTAATGTAAAATATATGTGATTGTTTTATACAAATATGTGTAATTATTCATATGTTTTAAAAATTAAAAAAATTATATTATTTTATTTATTCTACATCTTTGTTTCTAGATATATTAAACTAGCTGAAATTATATGTATTTTTACTTTTTATCTTGTATTTTAAAATATATTTAATTTAATTTAATATTTAAACCTGAAGAAAATTTACTAGACAGTATTAAAAAGAAGGAAAAAGAAAAGAGAAGAAGAGAAACAGAAAGAAAAATTTTGCTTTTTATTATTACCATTATAGTAATTGTAACTGTTTATTTTTAGTGATAAGGAATATTACAGTTTTGTATTTATTTTTAGTTTTTCTTATGTAACATTGTATTATTACATTACATTTATTATTTATCGGATTTATTGCTTTATGTCTCATATACTGGTTTATTTTGGAAATTTCCACTTGGACCATAATTACAAACAAGTAAATGCGCAATGAAATTGCTCTTAGGATCGTTATATTTTGCTCGTCCACAACCAATTGTAGTTGTCTTACCCCAAACAACTTGAGTGTAATGGCCTGTTTCTGGATCAAATCTACAAATCAAATTTTAGAGATTTACAAATATTTTAGAGATTTATTAGAAAATATGTCACAAATGCATTTTGAGAATTATTTTAATTAATGTTTATTGCTTAGAATATTATTCTATATTCTATATTGTCTATGCTAATTATGTTTTGTATCTATATAAATGCAACCTAAAAGATTAGTTTGAATTTTAATATACGTATTCATTGTCAATACTACAAAATCTGAAAGTATGATTAAAATGTATGATTAAAACATTTAATCCTAAAATAGAAAGATACTTACTTATACTTATAAACTTCCTTTTTATCAAACTTGGATACTTCATCATACCAGAGCTGAATAAGATCTCCCAAAGACGATGTGTTTTGGCCGGAAGCATATGATATGGCTATGTTTTGACCAACTTGATACTTAGCTGCAATACCACATATTATTAGCTAATAAATAAATCAATAAATTATATATTTATATAATATGCAATAATAAAATGTATTTATACATGTATTCCGATATTTACCTACGTCTCTACATTTATCATGCTCGAATTTGCATTGATTGGCCCATCTTTGCGCAATTTCTGCAAGTTGATTGTCCCAGGACTAAAAAATGTATATGTGTATATAAAAT